TCAACTCAGTCACGTCATGCCACTCACGTCACCTCAGTCACGTCACCCCACTCACGTCACCTCAGTCACGTCACCCCAGTCACGTCACCTCAGTCACGTCACCTCAGTCACGTCACCTCAGTCACGCCACTTCGCCACCTCACGTCATCCCACTCACGTCACCTCAGTCACGTCACCCCACTCACGTCACCTCAGTCACGTCACCCCAGTCACGTCACCTCAGTCACGTCACCTCAGTCACGTCACCTCAGTCACGTCACTTCGCCACCTCACGTCATCCCACTCACGTCACCTCAGTCACGTCACCTCAGTCACGTCACTTCGCCACCTCACGATCACTCCCACTCACCGTCACCTCATCACGTCACCCCACTCACGTCACCTCAGTCACGTCACCTCAGTCACGTCACCTCAGTCATGTCAGAACCTACACCTCACTTCCACTCAAGATAATTACATCTGTCACCTATAATTCCTAGCTTCAGGAATTATATTGATGCAACAATTATTTTAAAGGAATTACTTTGTGTGGGTCGTCAGTGTTACAAATAATTCACGATTATCTTTAGTAATTCGTTACTTTAGGCCAGATTATTATTACTGGAGTTATGGGGCAGTAGTAATTATAGGGGGGAGGGGGTTGTATAACTCTGGGTTATAATAATGTTGGGAATTATTGGGAATTATCATTGCTTGGGAGAGGATTATTTTGTACTGAGAATATTGTTATTATTATTATTACTGTTATTATTATTATTACTGTTATTATTACTATTATTATTATTATTATTATTATATTATTATTACTGTTATTTATAATTATTATGTTATTATTATATTATTATTATTATTATTATTATTATTATTATTATTATTATTATGTTATTATTATTATTACTGTTATTATTACTATTATTATTTTATTATATTATTATTATTATTATTATTATTATTATGTTATTATTAATTACTGTTATTTACTATTATTTATTATTTTATTATTATTATTATTACTGTTATTATTTATTATTATTATTATTATTATTAGTTATTATTTTATTATTATTATTATTATTATATTACTTATTATTATTATTATTATTATTATTATTATTATTATTATTATTATTACTGTTATTATTATTATTATTATTATTACTGTTATTATTATTATTACTGTTATTATTATTATTGTTATTATTATTATTATTATATTATTATTATTATTATTACTGTTTATTTTATTATTTTATTTTTTATACTGATTATTTTATTATTATTATTATTTATTATTATTATTACTGTTATTATTATTTATATTATTATTATTATTATTTTACTGTTATTTTATTTATATTATTATTATATGAAAAATTTTTTATTTTAGTTATTATTTAAATATTATTTATTATTATATTACTGTTATTATTATATTACGATTATTATTATTATTATTAATTATATTATATTATCGTTATTATTTATTAAATTTTATTTTTATTATATTTTATTATTATTGGGAAGAGAAAGGTGGGAGTCACAGGTAAGAGAAAGGTTTGGGGGGTCACCAGGGAGGGAAAGGTTGGGGGGTCACCAGGTAAGGAAAGGTGGGGGGTCACCAGGGAGGGAAAGGTTGGGGGGGTCACCAGGGAGGGAAAGGTTGGGGGGGTCACCAGGGGGAAAGGTTGGGGGGGTCACCAGGGAGGGAAAGGTTGGGGGGTCACCAGGGAGGGAAAGGTTGGGGGATCACCAGGGAGGGAAAGGTTGGGGGGTCACCAGGGAGGGAAAGGTTGGGGGGGTCACCAGGGAGGGAAAGGTTGGGGGGTCACCAGGTAAGGAAAGGTGGGGGGGTCACAGGGAGGGAAAGGTTGGGGGGTCACCAGGGAGGGAAAGGTTGGGGGGTCACCAGGTAAGGAAAGGTGGGGGGTCACCAGGGAGGGAAAGGTTGGGGGGGTCACCAGGTAAGGAAAGGTGGGGGGTCACCAGGGAGGGAAAGGTTGGGGGGGTCACCAGGTAAGAGAAGGTGGGGGGTCACCAGGGAGGGAAAGGTTGGGGGGTTACCAGGTAAGGAAAGGTGGGGGGTCACCAGGGAGGGAAAAGTTGGGGGTCACCAGTAAGAGGTGGGGGGTCACCAGGGAGGGGAAAGGTTGGGGGGGTCACCAGGGGGGAAAGTGGGGTCACCAGGAGAAAGTTGGGGGGTCACCAGGTAAGGAAAGGTGGGGGGTCACCAGGTGAGGGAAAGGTTGGGGGGGGTAACCAGGTAAGGAAAGGTGGGGGTCACCAGGGAGGGAAAGGTTGGGGGGTCACCAGGTAAGGAAAGGTGGGGGGTCACCAGGGAGGGAAAGGTTGGGGGGGTCACCAGGTAATTAAAGGTGGGGGGTCACCAGGAGGGAAAGGTTGGGGGGGTCACCAGGTAAGGAAAGGTGGGGGGTCACCAGGGAGGGAAAGGTTGGGGGGTCACCAGGGAGGGAAAGGTTGGGGGGTCACCAGGTAAGGAAAGGTGGGGGGTCACCAGTTAGGGAAAGGTTGGGGGGGTCACCAGGTAATTAAAGGTGGGGGGTCACCAGGGAGGGAAAGGTTGGGGGGTCACCAGGTAAGGAAAGGTGGGGGGTCACCAGGGAGGGAAAGGTTGGGGGGTCACCAGGTAAGGAAAGGTGGGGGGTCCACCAGGGAGGGAAAGGGTTGGGGGGGTCATCAGGTAATTAAAGGTGGGGGGTCACCAGGGAGGGAAAGGTTGGGGGGTCACCAGGTAAGGAAAGTGTGGGGGTCACCAGGGAGGTAAAGGTTGGGGGGGTCACCAGGTAAGGAAAGGTGGGGGGTCACCAGGGAGGGAAAGGTTGGGGGGTCACCAGGGAGGGAAAGGTTGGGGGTCACCAGGTAAGGAAAGGTGGGGGGTCACCAGGGAGGGAAAGGTTGGGGGTCACCAGGTAAGGAAAGGTGGGGGGTCACCAGGGAGGGAAAGGTTGGGGGGGTCACCAGGTAAGGAAAGGTGGGGGGTCACCAGGGAGGGAAAGGTTGGGGGGGTCACCAGGTAAGGAAAGATGGGGGGTCACCAGGGAGGGAAAGGTTGGGGGGGTCACCAGGTAAGGAAAGGTGGGGGGTCACCAGGGAGGGAAAGGTTGGGGGGGTCACCAGGTAAGGAAAGATGGGGGGTCACCAGGGAGGGAAAGGTTGGGGGTCACCAGGTAAGGAAAGGTGGGGGGGTCACCAGGGAGGGAAAGGTTGGGGGGTCACCAGGTAAGGAAAGGTGGGGGGTCACCAGGGAGGGAAAGGTTGGGGGGTCACCAGGTAATTAAAGGTGGGGGGGTCACCAGGGAGGGAATGGTTGGGGGGGTCACCAGGTAAGGAAAGGTGGGGGGTCACTAGGGAGGTAAAGGTTGGGGGGGTCACCAGGTAAGGAAAGGTGGGGGGTCACCAGGGAGGGAAAGGTTGGGGGGTCACCAGGGAGGGAAAGGTTGGGGGTCACCAGGTAAGGAAAGGTGGGGGTCACCAGGGAGGGAAAGGTTGGGGGGGTCACCAGGTAAGGAAAGGTGGGGGGGTCACCAGGGAGGGAAAGGTTGGGGGGGGTCACCAGGTAAGTAAAGGTGGGGGGTCACCAGGGAGGGAAAGGTTGGGGGGTCACCAGGTAAGGAAAGGTGGGGGGTCACCAGGGAGGGAAAGGTTGGGGGGGTCACCAGGTAAGGAAAGGTGGGGGGTCACCAGGGAGGGAAAGGTTGGGGGGTCACCAGGTAAGGAAAGGTGGGGGGTCACCAGGGAGGGAAAGGTTGGGGGGTCACCAGGGAGGGAAAGGTTGGGGGGTCACCAGGTAAGGAAAGGTGGGGGTCACCAGGGAGGGAAAGGTTGGGGGGGTCACCAGGTAAGGAAAGGTGGGGGGGTCACCAGGGAGGGAAAGGTTTGGGGGTGGGTTCACCAGGTAAGGAAAGGTGGGGGTCACCAGGGAGGTGAGATAGGGTGGGGGTCACCAGGTAAGGAAAGGTGTGGGATCACCAGGGAGGGAAAGGTTGGGGGGTCACCAGGTAAGGAAAAGGTGGGGGTCACCAGGGAGGGAAAGGTGTGGGGGTCACCAGGTAAGGAAAGGTGGGGGGTCACCAGGGAGGGAAAGGTTGGGGGGTCACCAGGTAAGGAAAGGTGGGGGGTCACCAGGGAGGGAAAGGTGAGGGGTCACCAGGTAAGGAAAGGTGTGGGATCACCAGGGAGGGAAAGGTGGGGGTCACCAGGGATGGGGGTGGGGGTCACAACATGCGTGTGTGGGACTTACAGCTGACCCCAATACTCCATTATTGTTACTGAGAGAAATTATGATGCATGAACCGGATTTACAGCCTTGACAGTTATCAGTCTTGACAGTTATTAGCCTGAACAGTTAGCGGCCCTAACAGTTTAGGCAAAGTTGGTGGTCACAGGGGAAATTTAGTGTTCACCAGGAGTGAAAGGTGGCTGTTCACCTGGCAGGTTAAGCCAACTGTTAGCCTTGGGACTTCAGCTGCCCATTCAATGTTTACTAGAAGAATTATGAGTGAAACCGATTTACAGCCTTGACAGTTAATCTTGCCAATCAGGAAGTATGCCTTGACACCATAACAGTATACCCATTTATCTTAGTTTCTAGTCTTGGGTATCAATGCTTTTTCGCCTTGACATTATAAGTTTTTGACTGTTATCAGCCTGACAGTTAACACTTGATGTTATCGCTTACAGCTATCAGCTTGACTGTTATCAGCCTTAACAGTTAGTAGTGGATGAGGTGGAAAGTCTACCTACCAGTGGATGAGTAATCATGTCCTTCAGACTCCAGGCAGGTGACTGATTGCCCCAAACCCTTCATCTTCCATTCTTCTCTGTATTGGACTGAAGAAGCCACTGGCTTCTCTGTCTTTAATATCACTTTTTAAACCATTTACATCAAGTTAGAGTATTTATTGACACGTTTACCACAGTGGTAGAAGATGGACTATACAACTGATATGGTTAATGCCTTGTATACATCTGGCATCAAGTCTGATCTGGCAAGACTTACACCATCCTGGGCCACAAGGTTAGTAGTAGCCTGACTTACACCATCCCGGATTTCCTTACACTATTTCCGTAACATTTCAAGCTCATGATGATGTGTTGATTGCAAAACAAAAGGCCTAGAGCTATCATTCAACTCCCTGCTATGGTTGTTTTGTCATCTTGTATCTCTTGTTCGAAATTATTGCATTATATATATATATATATATATATATATATATATATATATATATATATATATATATATATATATATATATATATATATATAACATAACAATTTCACAAACAGTTATCTCAGGTCGTAGGAGACTCGAACCTACAAACCTCTGGACAGGGTACGCAGTGATCTATGCACCATGCCACATTGGTCCAATACCTTGGTGCCCAGTTAATGCTAGTCATGTTGATCCAAGGCAGCCAGCCTTCAGGCTCGTCTGTTTACAGGTGGGTTACTGCTGCTGACCTAAGATCTAAAGTCATTAGGTGCTAGTTTTGGCTACTCGAATTGGAAAGTGTGGATTACTTGAGTCTTAGGTGCAGGTCGTGGAGCATAATACTTCTAGCTATATTATCAATTTAGAGGCCAATATTTTTTTATTTTTTAGAAGCTTCCTTGAGGCTAATACATGAATGTAATAAGTTGCAGTGACTCCCATAAGGAGCACAGACTCTGCTGGACATGTGCGAGTCTCATGGGACAAGTCCATTTATCCTAATATGGGTTCCTGACACTACAGAATCATACACTAACCAATTGGTGTATAATTCTGTAGAGTCAGGAACCCATGTTAGGATAAATGGACTTTCTAGTATGCCATAAGGCATGTATGTAAGGCATAAGACCTTTATGGCCCTCTCATGCCCACATTTGCTGTCCAGTGTGGGCTAGGACCCCTCTCGAGGGGTCCTAGCTCCCTCGAAAGGGGGATCACCCCTCTGAGAGGGGTCGTCGACCCCAGTTGGAGAGAATTTTTCCGCATGTGAATTGTTCTAATCACGGTATTGTGGGATGTGAGGTGTTGTAGCCAGAGTATTGTTGCAGGATGCGCCAGGATTGGCACCCAGGATGTGTGAAGGTTTATTGAAAAGACTCCGCGAGAGATACAACCCTGAGGATATCTGTGGCCAGGACTACTCTATCACACTCAGGTACGTTCTGTGTCACTAGTGATCACCTTCACTAGTTCTGTGTCACCAGTTATCACCTTCACTAGTTCTGTGTCACTAGTGATCACCTTCACTAGTTCTGTGTCACCAGTCATCGCCTTCACTAGTTCTGTGTCACTAGTGATCACCTTCACTAGTTCTGTGTCACCAGTTATCACCTTCACTAGTTCTGTGTCACTAGTGATCACCTTCACTAGTTCTGTGTCACTAGTGATCACCACTAGTTCTGTGTCACCAGTCATCACCTTCACTAGTTCTGTGTCACCAGTCATCACCTTCACTAGTTCTGTGTCACCAGTTATCACCTTCACTAGTTCTGTGTCACTAGTTATCACCTTCACTAGTTCTGTGTCAAAAGTCATCACCTTCACTAGTTCTGTGTCACTAGTGATCACCTTCACTAGTTCTGTGTCACCAGTCATCACCTTCACTAGTTCTGTGTCACCAGTTATCACCTTCACTAGTTCTGTGTCACTAGTTATCACCTTCACTAGTTCTGTGTCAAAAGTCATCACCTTCACTAGTTCTGTGTCACTAGTGATCACCTTCACTAGTTCTGTGTCACTAGTGATCACCTTCACTAGTTCTGTGTCACTAGTGATCACCTTCACTAGTTCTGTGTCACTAGTGATCACCTTCACTAGTTCTGTGTCACTAGTGATCACCTTCACTAGTTCTGTGTCACCAGTCATCACCTTCACTAGTTCTGTGTCACCAGTCATCACCTTCACTAGTTCTGTGTCACCAGTCATCACCTTCACTAGTTCTGTGTCACCAGTCATCACCTTCACTAGTTCTGTGTCACTAGTGATCACCTTCACTAGTTCTGTGTCACCAGTCATCACCTTCACTAGTTCTGTGTCACCAGTTATCACCTTCACTAGTTCTGTGTCACTAGTTATCACCTTCACTAGTTCTGTGTCAAAAGTCATCACCTTCACTAGTTCTGTGTCACTAGTGATCACCTTCACTAGTTCTGTGTCACCAGTCATCACCTTCACTAGTTCTGTGTCACCAGTTATCACCTTCACTAGTTCTGTGTCACCAGTTATCACCTTCACTAGTTCTGTGTCACTAGTGATCACCTTCACTAGTTCTGTCACCAGTCATCACCTTCACTAGTTCTATGTCACCAGTTATCACCTTCACTAGTTCTGTGTCACTAGTTATCACCTTCACTAGTTCTGTGTCACTAGTTATCACCTTCACTAGTTCTGTGTCACCAGTCATCACCTTCACTAGTTCTGTGTCACTAGTTATCACCTTCACTAGTTCTGTGTCACTAGTTATAACCTTCACTAGTTCTGTGTCACTAGTTATCACCTTCACTAGTTCTGTGTCACCAGTCATCACCTTCACTAGTTCTGTGTCACCAGTCATCACCTTCACTAGTTCTGTGTCACTAGTTATCACCTTCACTAGTTCTGTGTCACTAGTTATCACCTTCACTAGTTCTGTGTCACCAGTCATCACCTTCACTAGTTCTGTGTCACTAGTTATCACCTTCACTAGTTCTGTGTCACTAGTTATCACCTTCACTAGTTCTGTGTCACTAGTTATCACCTTCACTAGTTCTGTGTCACTAGTTATCACCTTCACTAGTTCTGTGTAACCAGTCATCACCTTCACTAGTTCTGTGTCACCAGTCATCACCTTCACTAGTTCTGTGTCACTAGTTATCACCTTCACTAGTTCTGTGTCACTAGTTATCACCTTCACTAGTTCTGTGTCACCAGTCATCACCTTCACTAATTCTGTGTCACACTCAGGTAGTCACCAGTCATCACCTTCACTAGTTCTGTGTCACCAGTCATCACCTTCACTAGTTCTGTGTCACCAGTTATCACCTTCACTAGTTCTGTGTCACACTCAGGTAGTCACCAGTCATCACCTTCACTAGTTCTGTGTCACACTCAGGTAGTCACCAGTCATCACCTTCACTAGTTCTGTGTCACCAGTTATCACCTTCACTAATTCTGTGTCACACTCAGGTAGTCACCAGTCATCACCTTCACTAGTTCTGTGTCACCAGTTATCACCTTCACTAATTCTGTGTCACACTCAGGTAGTCACCAGTCATCACCTTCACTAGTTCTGTGTCACCAGTCATCACCTTCACTAGTTCTGTGTCATCAGTCATCACCTTCACTAGTTCTGTGTCACCAGTCATCACCTTCACTAGTTCTGTGTCACCAGTCATCACCTTCACTAGTTCTGTGTCACCAGTCATCACCTTCACTAATTCTGTCACACACTCAGGTAGTCAGTCCCTCAGTCTGGAGTCGATGGCATCATTCCAGTCTTAAAAAAAGACTGGGGATTAGTTTACCTCAACCTCCGGCTAATCTTCCTTCTCCATCTTGGACTGAGGAAGCCACCGGTTGGCCAGGTGTTGGTCCTGTGTCTCACTAACCTTTCGGTTCTCTTAACCATTTATCAGTCCAATACAGAGAATTAGTACATTTAAGTACAAGTACACCTAAGTGCAGTTATCATACATAGTGCCTTATACATAGGTACCTGTACATACTTACATGTGTAATAAGGTCTCAGTAAACAGGTGATGTCACAATGTGCACAAGAACTACTGTGGAAAAAAATAGTGAAATTCGAATCGCTTTCGTGGTTTCTCACATTATCAAGGAACAGGTCCTTGATAATGTGAAAAATCACGAAAGCGCTTCGATTTTCACTATTTTTTTTTCAAAGTGGTTGTTTTACATAATAACTGTAAATTACCCACCAAAATAACCCCAAAAAAGTCAGATGAAGTGACTTGTACCCAGTGTGTACCTTGTAAAATGTCTGTGTTAAGCCTGACTGGAGATGCAGCAGAAATCAGTCATGATTCTGACGTTAAAAATTCAGATAATAACTTAACAGTGTGAGAAACAGTTACATAAGAACACAAGAATGGAGGAACACTGCAGAAGGCCTACTGGACCGTGTAAGACAAGTCTTTATCGAAACCAATATAATTGTCCAAGGAGATACACGAGGATACAATAGGATACAATGTACATACAATAGGATACAATATATATACAATACAATACATTAGTAATAAAGTGAACCGAGTTATTTATATGACATTTCGAGTTCGCCCAAAATGTTAGGTACAACTATTGGCTTTCAACATTGTACCAAGTTGAAATGGTATCAGTCTTGGTATTACCGCCAATTTGCTCAAGAAAGACACCTGAGGAAGCAGAACACTGAAATGTTTCACCAGTAAAGGTACCCAACTTCAGCACAAAGTGTCTTAATCACCATAACTGTCAGACACTGCAGCATAATGGTATCTTGGTACAGAGGACATTTTCCATTCTTCACCGCGTATCATGAATGAGAAAGATTGGTTTCTAGATGGATCTGCCGCCTTCTAGTGGATCCCGTCCCCTGTGACGTCTTCAAGATCTTCTATCTTACCTTCGACAGTAATTAAGACTCCGTTCTCATGTTTCAGTTCTTTTCGGTCTTTTCGTGTCTTGTGACACGAAAGCACATGGCTTCTTTCGGAAGGAAGGTCACGATGTTCCAGGGACTCAGCCGAGGACTCAGATCTGGAAATGTGGGGCTAAGTTCTGGTGAAGAAGCTGCCAGACCACTGAATGGACTCTTGGGACGGCGAAACAAGTGATACCAGCCTGGCCAGTGAGATGAGGATGGATCAAGAAATGCTCATTCCAGCCACAGATGTACAGGATGAAGAAGGTTGGCAGGCAGCAGGAGCCCCGAAGTCCCAGAGGAGACACAATGTTACCTTGCATTAGATCAGACAGGCCAAGCCACCTGCAGGCAACAAATTCAGGTTGATAAACAAAGGACACCATGACGCCCCGTGTTCTGCTATAATTCACCTCGAGGAGAAATTTGGCCTTAAGATATCAGTGTCCACAAATCTGAAAGTAGATGTTATTGTCACTACCCGAAACAGAGTCCTGTGAGGTACTGCAGAAGGTGAACGACCTGGAATCACCACTTGTTCTGCCAGAACTAAAATCCATAGAGCAGGTAACAAAAAAGCGTACTAATGCGATATCCACTAGACATGCTTCTTGATGCAATCCACAGTAACAAAAACATGGTGTAAGTTGAGTGGCTCTGAGCCAAGATGGACGACAACATACCTACGAGGCAGGTCTTGATCCAACATAGAGGTCCTCTGCCAGCTTAACTGGATCTCTGTTACTGGGGAACATACCAGGTCAGGGCGTACAACCCAGGACCTTCAAGGTGCTTCAGGTGCCACAGGTACAACCGTCTCGGTGCCCGGTGTCAGTTTAAGGAAATATGCAGCATCTGTAGCTGGTCTCACCCGACCAAGAACCGCTTGGATAGGCTGAAGCTATGGAACCTAGATGTCTGAACTGTGGCAAGAAGCATCATGCCTGGAACCTGCACTGTCTGGAGAGGTTCCACCGTGTCAGGGAAGCATGGAAAACCTTGGTTGCCCAGCCTCCAATATTAAATAGAGCTCTCACCACTGAGCAGAAGTCTCGTCCAGAGAAGGCTATAATAAGGAAACCAGGGGCCACTTTCCTGGCCACAGCGACGAAGGAAGCCGAGGAAATATCAGCGACGGGGTCGCAACCTTGCTCAACCTCAGCTACCCATTCTCCTGCTCAAACTCTGACCCAACAACGGCAGCCAACGAGACCCATAAAACAGGAACAGACTACAGCTAACGTGTCAACCCAACACCACAACAGTCACCAGTGAGGAACACTCTAGCCCAGGAGAACAGACCAGGAGATCCAATATTACCTCTAAGCCATCAAATAATGTCAACTATCACACGCTTCAGTGACATCATATGCGACCTGATAGACTCAGAAGAAAGAAAAGAGACTCTCAGAACTATTGTCAAGATCTTTATGAACATATTCATGATGGATTAAACAGAGCCCATGTGCTTATTTGTAAATTTACCCGACCACTCAACACAAAACCCAGAGACAGTGATGACAGAGCAACGCAGAGGGACTACAGCAAGACCCTGATCACAACCACATAAAACTGAATTAGACTAGAACATTTTAAATCTCAGACAGTTCATTATGGATTAAACGACCCATTCTTATGACAATTTCCGACCAATCAACACAAAACGAGACAGTGATGACAAGCCAACGCAGAAGGACTACAGCATGACCCGATCACAACCAACACTGATTAACTGACATCATTTTAGAAATCCTCAGACAGGTCATCTTAGGATTAAGACCCGCATCACGACGAAGTTCCTGACCAATCAAATAAATATAGAAAGGACTGACCACCTTGTTCCAGACCATGAAGCTGAACTCTTCTCCAGGTTGAGGGACTGACCACTTTGTTCTAGACCATGGAGCTGGACTCTTCTCCAGGCTGAGGGACTGACCAACTTGTTCCAGACCATGGAGCTGGACTCTTCTCCAGGTTGAGGGACTGACCACTTTGTTCCAGACCATGGAGCTGGACTCTTCTCTAGGCTGAGGGACTGACCACCTTGTTCCAGACCATGGAGCTGGACTCTTCTCCAGGCTGAGGGACTGATCACCTTGTTCCAGACCATGGAGCTGGAACTCTCTCCAGGCTGAGGACTGATCCACTTGGTTCCAGACCATGAAGCTGAACTCTTCTCCAGGCCAAGGGACTGACCACCTTGTTCCAGACCATGGAGCTGAACTCTTCTTCAGGCTGAGGGACTGACCACCTTGTTCCAGACCATGGAGCTTGAACTCACTTCGTAAAATATCACTTTTTCCAACATGAGCTGATCTTTCAGCCAAGACTGACACTTGTTCAGACATGAGTGAATCATTTTTGCTGAGTACTACATAATGCTTTCCACAGCCTTGTTGAGATCTATAATGAACGTGTGAGGGATCTCTTGGCGGACACTGATACTGGAAGATGTTTACGTGTCAGGGAACACCCTAATACTGGCCCTTATGTTGATAATATGATTTTGTCAGGAGACACATACGCCCTATGTTGATGTAAGTTTACTGGTGTTTGTGTCAGGGAGCACCTAATACGGCCCTTATGTTGATGGTAAGTTACTGGTGTTTGTGTCAGGGAGCACACTAATACCGGCCCTTATGTTGATGGTAAGTTACTGGTGTTTGTGTCAGGGAGCACACTAATACCGGCCCTTATGTTGATGGTAAGTTACTGGTGTTTGTGTCAGGGAGCACACTAATACCGGCCCTTATGTTGATGGTAAGTTACTGGTGTCTGTGTCAGGGAGCACACTAATACCGGCCCTTATGTTGATGGTAAGTTACTGGTGTTTGTGTCAGGGAGCACACTAATACCGGCCCTTATGTTGATGGTAAGTTACTGGTGTTTGTGTCAGGGAGCACACTAATACCGACCCTTATGTTGATGGTAAGTTATTGATATTTGTATCGGGGAACACCTCTCAGAGTAGCCTTCAAAATAAGAATGGAGGACCACTGCAGGAGGCCTACTGGCCTACCAACCATTCCCACCCACCCACTTGTCCAACCCACATTTAATATCATCACCACCTTACGATACCACGTATCGTACGCAGGTGTGACACGCCACCCGGTGAGAGACGCTGGCGCAGCTTGGTCGCTCCTGGAACGCGGACAGACGAGTCGCAGCGTAGCAAGTACGGCGACCCACTCGCGCTCCTCGAGGTCACACGCCTTGTTGACCTTAGATGTGACCCAACCAGCAGCTCATACACGTTCCACCCTGACCTTAGTTGACCTTGCTGGCAGGTAAATAAGGTCACAGTAAACAGATATCACAATACGCACAACAGTGTGGAAAATAGTGTTATTCCAAGAGCTTTCGTGATTTCTCACATTATCAAGGACTTGGTCCTTGATAATATGAAAAATCAAGGACCAGATCCATGATAATGTGGGAAATCAAGAACCAGGTCCTTGGTACTGTTAGAAATCAAGTACCAGGTCCTTGATGTGAGAAATCAAGAACCAGGTCCTTGATACTGTTAGAAATCAAGTACCAGGTCCTGATGTGAGAAATCAAAAACCAGGCCTTTGATACTGTTAGAAATCAAGGCGCAGGCCTTTGATACTGTTAGAAATCAAGTACCACGTCCTTGATGTGAGAAATCAAGAAGCAGCCCCTTGATGTTAGAAATCAAGTACCAGGTCCTTGATGTTAGAAGTCAAGAAGCAGGCCCTTGATCATGTTAGAAATCAAGTACCAGGTCCTTGTGAGAAATCAAGAACCAGGCCCTTGATAATGTTAGAAATCAAGTACCAGGTCCTTGATGTAAGAAATCAAGAACCAGGCCCTTGATATGTTAGAAATCAAGTACCAGGTCCTTGATGTGAGAAATCAAGAACCAGGCCCTTGATAATGTGAGAAATCAATTACTAGGTCCTTGATGTGAGAAATCAAGAACCAGGTCCTTAATAATGTTAGAAATCAAGTACCAGGTCCTTGATGTGAGAAGTCAAGAACCAGGCCCTTCATAATGTTAGAAATCAAGTACCAGGTCCTTGATGTGAGAAATCAAGAACCAGGCCCTTGATAATGTTAGAAATCAAGTACCAGGTCCTTGATGTAAGAAATCAAGAACCAGGCCCTTGATAATGTTAGAAATCAAGAAATCTAAACATTCACTATTTTTCCACCTCTACTCAATAAATTATTTAAAAAAATCTTGATAAATTATCAAAAATTTCCAACCCCCAAAATTACATTCTTTTAATAATGTTTCCTGACTTCCACAGTGAACGAGCGAGTGAGAGGATAGAGAAAACCCGGTTAACTGAAGGAGCCAGCATTAATCGGTCCCTGGTAACCCTTGGCAACGTTATCTCTGCACTAGGTAACCAGCTGATTACGTTATATATATATATATATATATATATATATATATATATATATATATATATATATATATATATATATATATATTATATATTTCAACACACCGGCAGTATCCCACCCAGGCGGGGTAACTCAAGAGGAAAAACAAAAGTTTCTCTTTTAAATTTAGTAATTTATACAGGAGAAGAGGTTACTAGCCCCTTGCTCCCGGCATTTTAGTCGCCTCTTACAACACGCATGACTTACGGAGGAAGAATTCTGTTCCACTTCCCCATGGAGATAAGAGGAAATAAACAAGAACAGGAACTAGTAAGAAAATAGAAGAAAACCCAGAGGTGTGTGTATATATATGCTTGTACATGTATGTGTAGTGTGACCTAAGTGTAAGTAGAAGTAGCAAGACGTACCTGTAATCTTGCATGTTTATGAGACAGACAAAAGACACCAGCAATCCTACCATCATGTAAAACAATTACAGGATTTTGTTGTACACTCACTTGGCAGGACGGTAGTACCTCCCTGGATGGTTGTTGTCTGCCAACCTACTACCACAAGACGGTAGTACCTCCCTGGGTGGTTGTTGTCTACCAACCTACTACCACAGGACGGTAGTACCTCCCTGGGTGGTTGTTGTCTACCAACCTACTACCACAGGACGGTAGTACCTCCCTGGGTGGTTGTTGTCTACCAACCTACTACCACAGGACGGTAGTACCTCCCTGGGTGGTTGTTGTCTGCCAACCTACTACCACAGGACGGTAGTACCTCCCTGGGTGGTTGTCTACCAACCTACTACCACAGGATGGTAGTACCTCCCTGGGTGGTTGTTGTCTACCAACCTACTACCACAGGACGGTAGTACCTCCCTGGGTGGTTGTTGTCTACCAACCTACTACCACAGGACGGTAGTACCTCCCTGGGTGGTTGTTGTCTACCAACCTACTACCACAGGACGGTAGTACCTCCCTGGGTGGTTGTTGTCTGCCAACCTACTACCACAGGACGGTAGTACCTCCCTGGGTGGTTGTTGTCTACCAACCTACTACCACAGGATGGTAGTACCTCCCTGGGTGGTTGTTGTCTACCAACCTACTAACACAGGACGGTAGTACCTCCCTGGGTGGTTGTTGTCTATCAACCTACTACCACAGGACGGTAGTACCTCCCTGGGTGGTTGTCTACCAACCTACTACCACAGGACGGTAGTACCTCCCTGGGTGGTTGTTGTCTACCAACCTACTACCACAGGATGGTAGTACCTCCCTGGGTGGTTGTTGTCTACCAACCTACTACCACAGGACGGTAGTACCTCCTGGGTGGTTGTTTGTCTACCAACCTACTACCACAGGACGGTAGTACCTCCCTGGGTGGTTGTTGTCTACCAACCTACTACCACAGGACGGTAGTACCTCCCTGGGTGGTTGTTGTCTACCAACCTACTACCACAGGACGGTAGTACCTCCTGGGTGGTTGTTGTCTACCAACCTACTACCACAGGACGGTAGTACCTCCCTGGGTGGTTGTTGTCTACCAACCTACTACCACAGGACGGTGTATCCCGGTGGTTGTCTCCCCACACTGGACGTAGTACCTCCTGGTGTTGTTGTCTACCAACCTACTACCACAGGACGGTAGTACCTCCCTGGGTGGTTGTCTACCAACCTACTACCACAGGACGGTAGTACCTCCCTGGGTGGTTGTTGTCTACCAACCTACTACCACAGGATGGTAGTACCTCCCTGGGTGGTTGTCTACCAACCTACTACCACAGGACGGTAGTACCTCCCTGGGTGGTTGTTGTCTACCAACCTACTACCACAGGACGGTAGTACCTCCCTGGGTGGTTGCTGTCTACCAACCTACTACCACAGGACGGTAGTACCTCCCTGGGTGGTTGTTGTCTACCAACCTACTACCACAGGATGGTAGTACCTCCCTGGGTGGTTGTCTACAAACCTACTACCACAGGACGGTAGTACCTCCCTGGGCGGCTGTTGTCTACCAACCTACTACCACAGGACGGTAGTACCTCCCTGGGTGGCTGTTGTCTACCAACCTACTACCACAGGACGGTAGTACCTCCCTGGGTGGTTGTTGTCTACCAACCTACTACCACAGGACGGTGGTACCTCCCTGGGTGGTTGTTGTCTACCAACCTACTACCACAGGACGGTAGTACCTCCCTGGGTAGTTGTTGTCTACCAACCTACTACCACAGGACGGTAGTACCTCCCTGGGTGGTTGTTGTCTACCAACCTACTACCACAGGAAGGTAGTACCTCCCTGGGTGGTTGTTGTCTACCAACCTACTACCACAGGACGGTAGTACCTCCCTGGGTGGCTGTTGTCTACCAACCTAGTACCACAGGACGGTAGTACCTCCCTGGGTGGTTGTTGTCTACCAACCTACTACCACAGGACGGTAGTACCTCCCTGGGTGGCTTTTGTCTACCAACCTACTACCACAGGACAGTAGTACCTCCCTGGGTGGTTGTTGTCTACCAACCTACTACCACTGGATGGTAGTACCTCCCTGGGTGGTTGTCTACCAACCTACTACCACAGGACGGTAGTACCTCCCTGGGTGGCTGTTGTCTACCAACCTACTACCACAGGACGGTAGTACCTCCCTGGGTGGTTGTCTACCAACCTACTACCACAGGACGGTAGTACCTCCCTGGGTGGTTGTTGTCTACCAACCTACTACCACAGGACGGTAGTACCTCTCTGGGTGGCTGTTGTCTACCAACCTACTACCACAGGACGGTAGTACCTCCCTGGGTGGTTGTTGTCTACCAACCTACTACCACAGGATGGTAGTACCTCCCTGGGTGGTGGTTGTCTACCAACCTACTACCACAGGATGGTAGTACCTCCCTGGGTGGTGGTTGTCTACCAACCTACTACCACAGGATGGTAGTACCTCCCTGGGTGGTGGTTGTCTACCAACCTACTACCACAGGACGGTAGTACCTCCCTGGGTGGTTGTTGTCTACCAACCTACTACCACAGGACGGTAGTACCTCCCTGGGTGGTTGTTGTCTACCAACCTACTGCCACAGGACGGTAGTACCTCCCTGGGTGGTTTTGTCTACCAACCTACTACCACAGGATGGTAGTACCTCCCTGGGTGGTGGTTGTCTACCAACCTACTACCACAGGAGGGTAGTACCTCCCTGGGTGGTTGTTGTCTACCAACCTACTACCACAGGACGGTAGTACCTCCCTGGGTGGTTGTTGTCTACCAACCTACTGCCACAGGACGGTAGTACCTCCCTGGGTGGTTGTCTACCAACCTACTACCACAGGACGGTAGTACCTCCCTGGGTGGTTGTTGTCTACCAACCTACTTCCTCGGATATTGATATATATATATATATATATATATATATATATATATATATATATATATATATATATTATATTATTATAAAACGCTTGGTAACGTTACCTCTATTAGATAACGAACTGATAACAGCATAACTCTATAGATAGCCTTGTAACGTTATATCAGCACTAGTTAACGTTATATCTATATATACAACATAGTATATCTATCAGATAACACTTGGTAACGTTATATTAGGTAACACTTGGTAACGTTATATTAGGTAACACTTGGTAACGTTATATTAGGTAACACTTGGTAACGTTATATTAGGTAACACTTGGTAACGTTATATTAGGTAACACTTGGTAACGTTATATTAGGTAACACTTGGTAACGTTATATTAGGTAACACTTGGTAACGTTATATTAGGTAACACTTGGTAACGTTATATTAGGTAACACTTGGTAACGTTATATTAGGTAACACTTGGTAACGTTATATTAGGTAACACTTGGTAACGTTATATTTATTAGGTAACAAATTGTTAGTGTTACATCTCAGTATTGGTCGTGCTTCATGCGTGGACTGGGGTTCGAACCATGGTATATAGTAGCTGTGAGTATCTTATCTTTGAGTCACAGAGGTGACTGCTGGTACAACCATGTCACAGAGGTGACTGCTGGTACAACCATGTCACAGAGGTGACTGCTGGTACAACCATGTCACAGAGGTGACTGCTGGTACAACCATGTCACAGAGGTGACTGCTGGTACAACCATGTCACAGAGGTGACTGCTGATACAACCATGTCACAGAGGTGACTGCTGGTACAACCATGTCACAGAGGTGACTGCTGGCACAACCAAATGTCACAGAGGTGACTGCTGGCACAACCATGTCACAGAGGTGACTGCTGGTACAACCATGTCACAGAGGTGACTGCTGGTACAACCATGTCACAGAGGTGACTGCTGGTACAACCATGTCACAGAGGTGACTGGTGGTACAACCATGTCACAGAGGTGACTGCTGGTACAACCATGTCACAGAGGTGACTGCTGGCACAACCATGTCACAGAGGTGACTGGTGGTACAACCATGTCACAGAGGTGACTGCTGGTACAACCATGTCACAGAGGTGACTGCTGGTACAACCATGTCACAGAGGTGACTGCTGGCACAACCATGTCACAGAGGTGACTGCTGGTACAACCATGTCACAGAGGTGATTGCTGGTACAAACATGTCATAGAGGTGACTGCTGGTACAAACATGTCACAGAAATACAGCATTTAACATCATCCTATTGGTTCCATCATTAAATCTGCCATTTTCTTGGACCATGGTTCGAATCCTTGCCCATTATATTGTATGTCCATGTATAAATATGTATAGATTTTTATTTATTGAGTTCTAGGGTGAAAATAATATGTTTCTGCATGTTAATATAGGCTCTAAGATCATCCTGTTGGCTCTGTTATATGCATGGACCACGGTTCGACTCTCCAGCCCCTATTCGCTCTATTGATATGTAAATATCTCTATTTTCTAACTCTATAGGCTGTTAATAATACACTTGTCATACTGACTGTTTTTACCACCTTTATGCAGCTGTACATAAGGCCCGAGGATGTGTGTGTTGTGGTAGGTTAAGTTTGATAACTAGCATGCTTAGACTAGTGTTATTTTAGTGAAATCTCTAGTGACAGTTTTAATTACAGCTCTAGTATGTTAATCTCTCTCATTAAAGCTCCTCGTATTGAGGACGTATTACAAAGGCCTTTCAACTAGGTAAGATCTTTGTGGGGCAAGTGAGGAAGACTGGGCAAGTGAGGAAGACTGGGCAAGTGAGGAAGACTGGGCAAGCGAGGAAGACTGGGCAAGCGAGGAAGACTGGGCAAGTGAGGAATAGTCTTTAGTGATAGAGAAAGTGTCAGAGCTAGACCCAAGAGCTGAGCTCTGGTGGGGCAGACTGGAGAAGAACCAGGCTGTGTTACTGGAAGTCTTGAGGAGTTGGCAGCAGGCTTGGTCGCAGGAGAGGACGGCAGGTAGGGACAACAGAAGGCAGCTCATTTGTAGGTGTTGTTTTGATTAACGTGGTAGGTTCGTAGAGAAGCCATTCTGAAACTTCTGGAGAGGTGGTACAGTTGTGTTTTGTTACCAAAGGTTAATTGGAGTGGTTTGATGAACTCCAGTACTTGGGTAATTGAGAAGCAAAGTGGTGACTCACAGGAAAACTAGACTGACCCAACACACAGCTTTTTGTACAGCTGTGTGCAGGTCATACTGCTCCCATGTGTAGATAGCAAGATTGTTCCATGTGGGCGTGCTGGTGTGGGAGTTATCATCATCTTCCACAGAAGAGGATTCTTTGGGCGAGTCTACAGTTGTACTGGCAGGTAACGGTGGGTCGGCAGGAGCACTGGAGAGGTGTGTTGATGTGTCTACCGGCTGAGAGACGTTGGAGGCAGTGATTTAGGCTGTGGAATCAAAGTTGTCGACGATGGAGGCAGTTGGAGATGCTTAACCTGGAGTTTACCTGGAGAGAGTTCCGGGGGTCAACGCCCCCGCGGCCCAGTCTGTGACCAGGCCTCTGGGTGGATCAGAGCCTGATCAACCAGGCTGTTACTGCTGGCTGCACGCAAACCAACGTACGAGCCACAGCCCGGCTGGTCAGGAACCTACTTTAGGTGCTTGTCCAGTGCCAGCTTGAAGACTGCCAGGGGTGTGTTGGTAATCCCCCTTATGTATGCTGGGAGGCAGTTGAACAGTCTTGGGCCCCTGACACTTATTGTATGGTCTCTTAACGTGCTAGTGACACCCCTGCTTTTCATTGGGGGGATGGTGCATCGTCTGCCAAGTCTTTTGCTTTCGTAGTGAGTGATTTTCGTGTGCAAGTTCGGTACTAGTCCCTCTAGGATTTTTCAGGTGTATATAATCATGTATCTCTCCCGCCTGCATTCCAGGGAATACAGGTTTAGGAACCTCAAGCGCTCCCAGTAATTGAGGTGTTTTATCTCCGTTATGCGCACCGTGAAAGTTCTCTGTACATTTTCTAGGTCAGCAATTTCACCTGCCTTGAAAGGTGCTGTTAGAGTGCAGCAATATTCCAGCCTAGATAGAACAAGTGACCTGAAGAGTGTCATCATGGGCTTGGCCTCCCTAGTTTTGAAGGTTCTCATTATCCATCCTGTCATTTTTCTAGCAGATGCGATTGATACAATGTTATGGTCCTTGAAGGTGAGATCCTCCGACATGATCACTCCCAGCACGTCAGTTCCTTGTTTTCTAATATCATGTTCATTTTTCCCCTATAATCTACCTTGTCCATAATTACTATCACATTACACAAATAACCCGCACATAAAAGAGAGAAGCTTACAACAACGTTTCGGTCCGACTTGGACCATTTACAGTGTGACTTTGTAAATGATCCAAGTCGGACCGAAACGTCGTCGTAAGCTTCTCTCTTTTATGTGCGGGTTATTTGTGTATCGTTCCAGTCACGGTATTGTCTTTTTTTGTTACTATCACATTTGCTGTGTCTGCTTTCGTAAGGTGAAGTCCAGGATCTTTGAGGACATTTGTGTTTCAGTTGAACTCTGAGCTTTGATCAAACCTCTACAACACAAATATCCTCCAAGATTTGTTGAGTTATACCAGGAATTAAGGAAAGATCCTGGACTTCACCTTACGAAAGCAGACACAGGAAATGTGATATTAATTATGGACAAGGTAGATTATAGTGGAAAAATAAATGTGATATTAACAGACAAGAAGACTCGGGTGCCTCTTAAGGAAGAGTTGCTTGGGCAGAGGCAGGAGACATGTCTGCAGGTGCAGGGAAATTCACAACATTCAGAAGATCTCTGAGGATGGCAGCTGAAGGTGTGGAGTCCGGGAAATTGAAGGCAGGCATGTTGTCCAAATGGAATAGTTTGTGAACTGTAGTGTTGAATGTGGTAGGGTTTGCCGCATTAGCAGGGTGTGCGTACACCGTGCAGTACAGCACCTTGGACGGAGCACCGTCGGGGAGTGCTGAAAGGGAGTTACTGGGTGAAGAAGACTTGTGTTTCTTGGATAATCTTCACAGTATCTGATTAAGTTTAGTAATATCGGTATATGAAAGAGATTTTGAGGTGTTCCTCTTGAATCTTTTTAGATACGATTTCTTTCCTAAGTGGGCACTTAGCTGCGAGAGTATGAAGAGTACCCTTGCAGTTAAGACATGTTGGAACAGTGGCAGTGGTGTAGGGTTTGAAATCATGCCCTTCTTTTCCACAGTTTGTACAAAATTTCTTGCTCTTGACAGGGCAGGAATTTGTAGTTGTACGAATAACAAGTCCAATAGGGAGTGATGTGTTTGAAGCAGTCGGGTTCAACTTCCTCGGGTGTGTATGATAGTAAGAGACGGCTAGTCCATCAGACAGAGCTTGGACAGACATTACAGTGGCAGAAAATACGATCACTGATGAGGCTTTGAGAATTCTAGTAGAGGCCCAGGCATTTGGGCCCTCGATGGATGAGCTGGGCTCATTAGTAGAGAGCCGTGACGAACCTGTCTAGGTGTTCAACGAAAACAGAACACTTAGCCTGTAAGGATGGAGAGTTAGAAATGATAAAGCCACGATCTCTGAGAGTTTGGAGAGCTGTAGTAGTATTGTGGAGTTTATCAGCCTCCTGGTCGCTGGTGTAGGCGTCCAGGAAGGCGTCCTTGAGGGGGACGATGCTACGGAACTTGAGTTACAGTCTTCATTTAAGAACAAATGAAGAACAAGCTTGGCGGGATCGTTATCTTGGCACGATGTGACATCTGTTATGTAGAGGAGCAAAAATACTTCCGTAATTAGTGTTGTGAAGGCCTTTCAACTTGTCGCTCAATTGTGAATGTGCTTCTTCAGGTGCATTCACAAAAAATTCACCCTATATGAAGGAGCCTTATAAGAGAGTTTACTGTATATGTTGTAGCATTTATACCTCTTCAAGGGGGGCTCCTTGGCGTGGTGAAGAGGCTCTTGGTCTGAGGAATTAGCCCTGTCGGTCTTCTTCCTCAGACCGAACCTAATTACCCCCCATTCTCCCCTCCCCTATCCCATCCTCCCCATCCTCCCCTTTTTCCATTCCTCCTCCTCCTCCTCACCCCTCCCTTTTGCCCTTCCTCTTTTTAGCCTTCGTGATTTCTCCCACAGGCGCGCTAGTTCCTAGGTAGGGGAAAGGACACCGGGGTCCATCCCATTCCGTTGAGGTTTCTTGGCGGTGGCGTAGTTTGCCGTGGAATCTGGATTGCCTAGGGATGTCCCGATCCCTCTCCGGTATCCCGGAGTGGCTTTGGGTGTCTTTTGGGCGACGGGTGTATCTCTGGAAGCCACCTTTCGGATTCCGGGGGTGGTGGCTGAAGGAGGTATGCTTTGTGGCGGATATCCGGCCGCCCTCTCTTTTGTCCACCGAGGTAGCTCGGCAGATGTGAGGTTGCTATCCCAGATTGCTGGTTTACTGGCATGAAGGGTAGGGTATGGCACGGGTTCCATGCTGCATCTGCGCTACTAGCGGTGTCGAGTCCTCTTGGGCGCGAAGGGGGATTTCCGGCCCTTTCATTCCTCCTGGGAACTATTCCTTCCCGCTCCCCCCTTTTTTTATTCTTTTTTTTATTTTTATTTTCTTTTCTTCTTTCTTTTTTTTTCTTAAAAACAAAAAGCAAAGGAGTAACCTAACCATGGCAGCCCTAGTCCATGAAACCACTACCCCCGGGCCCCTTCTTGATACCGCACCCCATTCTGACCCTGCCTTGTGTTTAGACCACTCTTCGGACACTCCTGATGCCCCTGTACCTCTTGCTGGTGCTGTTTCCTCACCCGCTTCAGGTACCGGGGCTTCGACTGACTCCTTCGATTTGTCTGAACTCCGCTCTCCTTTGACTATGCTTCCGGCTTCTCCCTCTACGGTACGGCAATTTTCGAATCGCCCACCCATTTCCTGCCGGACCAACTCCGGTCCTACTCCTAAACGCCAACGTCAATCTCCTGATGATGCTCCGTCGTTACCTTCCCATTCTACTCGGAAACGACCGACACGTCAAGCACTCCCTCTCCACGCTCAGTTTCGGACCACACAATGGACTAAATTCTTTACTTTAAGACCAACTTCTTCTTCTGCCTACCTTTCTGACCATAGTATTGCCAAAGCGCTCCTGCGTCATGTTGGCAGAGATATTTCATTTCACGCTCTCAAGAGCGGTACACGCATCGTCACTGTCCAGAATGCTACCCAAGCTCATGATCTTTCTCTCCTTTCGAATATCGATACTACTCCTATCACTATTGAAAAACATCTTTCTCTCAATTCTTGTAGTGGTACTGTCATTCTGCCCCATACCATAGTCCAACAGAATTTCCATCATGGGGCAATGACATTTTTGAACACGGGAACTCCAGGTCCCCCAATCCTCAAAGTAACACTTATGCCCTTTCCCTCCCCGGGGGCGGAGACGTTACCCTTGCAATGTGCTCTTTAATTTTTGACAGCCGAGAACTCCCCCTCTGATATGTCGGGGGACATCGGTTACAAGTCGAAAGGTGATACCTAAAACCGCAACAATGAAAAATTTGCTGGCTTTTTGGGTCCCCACAAAAATTTTTGGATCATGGCCGAACCCATCTTGGGCCCGACAAATTCTAATACATTTCGTCACCTCCCATCTTCCCCTTAATTTAAGAACTCACCCTTCACTCCCCGCCTTTGGGCCGGGGTCTACTTAAAAAACTGAAATCCTTTGCTCAAAGAGGCGAAGGCCCTCCCATGCTATGGCATTAACTCCTCGCCTCCAAGGAGACTACCCCGTGTTTTTTATTCTCTTTTTTCCAAACGCCCCCCCCATTCTGGGTCCCATCTTCTGCACCTCCTCGTTTTACCCCCAATACCCCTAGGCTCTAACCCTTTTTGCTGTCCTTTTTCTTGACGCCCGACTACAATCATTTCTTTTTCCACATCTTCGCGCCCTTCCTCACAAGCCCCAGTAATCGACAAGACCTCGTACGACACCTAAACCAATCGCCCCTCTACTCAGAACCCCAAAAAATCCACATTGCTCAAACTTCTTTCCCCCTTCCTTCCCTTTTTCCACCCCCATTCCCTTTTCCCAGCCTGTACCTATTTTTCCCCCTCTTTTGGCTCTTTTTCAAGTTGGAGTTCACCCCCCCCTCGTACTTGCCTTCCCCCCTCCCCTCCCAATTTTCCCCTCTTCGTCCCCTCCCGGTTTCTACCTTTTCTGTCCCCCCCCACATTCTTCTCCGCCCCTTTACATTTTTTTCCCCCCCCCTCTACTTTGGGTAAAGCCCATTACGTCCCAATCTTTACCACCCTCCCCCTCAATCTCCAATATGGTTTCCCATACATCTTGAATTCAGAAACATTTAAACCCTTTTCAGAAAAATTTTGCAGAGACAAAACCTTCAAGGGACACGATTCACTTCCTTTTCCTTCTCTTCCCCTCCTCCATCTTCAAAACCCCCATTTTTGCAAGCTCCGTTCCTTCGCTACTTGAAACATTTTCCAATCCACCACACGTTGACTTTTTTCAAACCCCCTCTAGTCCGTGGTTTGCCTTTACCTACAGATTCCTGATATTTTTTTCACCCAATCATGGCCTTTTACAGTGGAATATCCGCGGCCTCGGGTAAGGGGGTGAGCTTCAGAGTTGCTTTCCATTTTTTCCCCTGTTGGGGCTTGCTTACAAGAACCAAAATTACACTCGGCTTTTTTTCCAACCTACTCAGCTATAATTTATTGTATTCTTGGGATCCTTTTCTCAGATGGGCCCTTTTTAATAAAATGCCCTTCTTCTACGCAAGATATTCCTTTACTTCAACTATTTGCCTCCCTCGCTGCATTACACTGCAGCCCGTATCCACTTGAATAAGTGGGTTTACAATATGTTCTTTTTTAAACTCCTCCTTCCGAGCATTTTCTATCCCAGACTTTTCCCCTTTCTTGTTTCATCCTTCCCACCACCACTTCGTTTACTTGGTGATTTTAATCCCCACCTTTTCCTCTGGGGGGGGTTCATTGTAAACCACGGGCATTCATTGGAGGCTTTTCTTGCCTCTCACCCCCCCAGTTTTAAATAGGGGTACTCCCACCCATTTTGACCCGTACTCATACTCCCTTTGCATCGATCTATCAGTCTGCCTTCCTCCATCCCAAAAGATTTTCACCTGGTCTGTTCTACCAGACTTACTGCAGCGATCATTTTCCTCATTCTCTCCCCTTCCTATTCACCACCTTCCGACCCCTCGCTGGCAATTTGATCGGAAAATTTGGGGGTTTTTTTTTAACTCAAACCTCACTGTTTTTTTAGTGAGGTTCCTTCTTCACCCCATTGATGAGCTCCTACACTTTCCGCATCATTTTATACCGCAGCTTCCATTCTATCCCCAAACCTCAGGCGGGCATTCTCGAAGTGCTCCCTTGGTGGTCTCCTGCTTGTGCTCGGCAGACGTTTGAAACGTGCGCATGGGGCAGGTCCCGGGAACAATAAACCGCGGGAAAATTTGTTGTTTTTTAAGAAAGCGTGCGATCGCTCGCCGGTCATCCGTGAAGCTAAACGACTTTTTTGGGGGGAACTATTTTCCACCATAAATCTGCTTCTTCTATGATTCATCGGGAAAAAAAATAAGGAAATTGGTGGTAAATACTCTCCTACCCGGCCCGTTCTACGGTCACTGGTTTTGATAAGCAAACCCTCTCGCGTTGCCATTGAACTTGGCACACACTGGTCCGTATTTCCCCCGGGGCTCCACTACCCCCCCGTTTCTTTCCCAAAGTCTCCCAGAGAGGTTAACCCCCTTGGATTTTCTTCTCTCGGAGAAAACAAAATGTCCTTTTACACCAAAACTGGGGCAACGCTCTCAGCTTGCCGACATGGGAGCTGGGCTGTGACTTTCATATTCGATGTTAAAAACTTTTACATGGTCGCCTTTTGTAGTCCTCTTACACCCTTCAATCTTATTTGGCAAAAGGAGTTCTTCCCCACTGTGAAATCTCCATTGTTCCCCCTTTCCGCAACCGGGTACTACAGGAATGAGCCCCCACTATCGCCCCATCGCTCTTCAATTGCATTGCAAAGTGAGAAGCCTCGTAAACGCTTTAAAAGTGGTATTTAGAACCCCAAAACAGTCTCTCCCAGTCAATATGGCTTTCGTAAGGGTCGTTCACCATAGACCCCTTTACTACGCTTGGATACTTATTTTTCGTACCCTTTCGAATAATCACTCTTCTTGCCATATTTTTTGCCCTTTGAGAAGGCATATGACCAACTTGGGGGTATAATATTTTCCCAGGCCCTTCCTTAGGCCCCCGAGGCAATCTACCATCCTTCCTTAAAAACTTTTTAACTGACAAATTTTTCCCTTTTCGAGTCAATAAGTTCTTTCCCCGGACTTCTGCAAGTGAAGGTTCCCAGGGATTGTTCTAAGCACAACACTTTTTTTTCCTTGCTATAAATGATTTGGCCTCTGTTCTTCCACCCAATATTTGGTCATCACTCTATTTGATGACTTTGCTATTGCTTGTGCAGGCGCTGACTGTCCACTTTTTTCAGTTTCTTCCAGCATGCGGGCGACCGTGTTTTCCACTTGGGGCCAACACAATGGGGGTTTAAATTTCAAATACCAAAACTCACCAAATTTCTTTCACTAGACGCTCTGTTTCTCCCTCATCCTTTGTATCTCTATGGCTTCCCCGTAAACCCCCCCAACTGATACAGTAGGAGGTTTTGGGGGGTTATGGTTTATTTTGGGTTGGGGGGGGGGGTTTTTTAAAACCCTTTATTTTTGGGGGGGGGGGGGGGGGAATTTTTTTTCTAGGCCCTTTTTTTATCGAAACCGATTATTACCAAAATTTACAGCTCCTCTCCTGTACCTTTTTCCCAGCTTAAAATCAATCCATCCCAAGCTCGTTTTTGCCTTGGTGCTTTTCGCTTTTTCCCCTGTTTAACCTCTAACGAAGCAAAAAAGTTCCCTCCTTGTCTGTGCCGTGATCCATTGCCTTCGTTACTATGTACGTCCACGATTACACAATCCTTCCATTTTTTAAATGTCACCAATTATAGCATTCTTTTTTCGTTGCCGCCCCGTTTTCCCGTCCCTTTTCTTTCTTCGCCAATTTTACTCTTGTCTTTCCCTTTAGTTACCACCCCTTTATATTTTTATGTCCTCTCACTTTTCCCCCGCCCCCCGGGAAGTTCCACGTTTGGGGCGTTCTTTCTCACTCCCTTGCTCGAAAGCTCAACTGCCTACGGGGGCTTTCCCGCTCTCTTTTTTTTTGATACTTCCACCCTTTTCATGCCACCCTTGTACACAGATGGCTCTAAGTCTTTTAAGGCGTCGGATTCGCAGCAGTGTTTCCGGGCGCGTCGTGGGGGATTTACATTTTAAAAAAAATTTTTATGCTGAAATGTAGCCATTTTTGCGGGGACTTTTTATTGGGTTAGGGCCGTTCTCATTTGAGAAGGGCTCAGACCCCCTTGTGCTCTACAGGGTATCGAAATTTTTATACATCTCTCCCCTAGTTCTCTGTATCCAACTTTTTGGGTACGCCCTATCTCTAAACCCAAAAATAAAGATATTGTTTTTTTTTGGGTCCCGGTCAGTCGACGTACAGGGCTGAAAGGGGGGGCAGAAAGCGCCCGGGGGAGCGTATATACCAAACCCAAATTTCCTTCGAGGGTTTTCCCCTTTTTGGATTTTTTGCTGCAATAAATCCCACCCGCCCCCGTTGGAACAACGTTGGTCAATCTGCCGGTAAAAAATTATTTTATTTAAAAGAATTTTTTACTGGGGCCCCTTCTTTCATCAGTGCCGAATTGGGAGACCACTCTCTCCCCCTTTGCATTGGCCCCACTCGTCTTACTCAGGGGACTCATGGAGAGGCACCCCGTTCCTCTCTGTGGGGCATGTCAAATTTCCCGTATCGATTACCAATTCTGTTAGACTCCCTCTATCAACGAGGACCAAATTTACCCCCGCGTTTCTTTTACTACTCTCTCTTTCCTTCCCTTTTTGCTGATGGACCCCCTTTAATCCTGACTCTCTCATTCTTCTTTACAACGAACCCATTTACTCCACAAACTCTGGATTAAGAACCCCTCAGCCCCTTTTTGGTTCAGTCCTTTCTGCCCTTTACCCTTTACCATCCACTTCCCCCTGTTTTCCCTAACCTGTTGCCATCCATCTCCCTTTTTCCCCCTGATGCCTCACTTCCTTCCCGCCCTGCACCTGTATAGTCCTTGTGGCTTAGCGCTTCTTTTGATTAAATAATAATAATTTAAAGTAGCATTTATATGTATGTGGCTTTGCATGTTTATTTATAAGTTTACTGCTTGGGGATTTACTGCTGGGTAGTTTTTTCGTGGGTAGTTACTGCTGGGTGTTTACTGCTGGGGAGTTTACTGCTGGGGGAGTTTACTGCTGGGGATTTACTGCTGGGGAGTTTTTGTGGGGGTTTACTGCTGGGGAGTTTTTGCTGGGTAATTTACGCTGGGTAGTTTACTGCTGCCATATACAATATTTCTCTTGGTGAAATACATTCTAAACTTTCCCCCGTAATATTAATTAAAATTTTCAGACTATATACTTCCATAACAAAATTTCATATACCAAAATATCCAAAGTATACCCAAAATACCCAAAGTACCCAGCAGTACACCAGCAGTACCCAGCAATACCTGGAGATATCTGGATTTTAAATTTAAGTATTCTTTGTTAGACCTAGATAATATTGGATTAACATAGATTATACCCGAAGTATACCCGGGGTATACCTAATTATACCCAGAGTACCTGGGTATCTAATGGTGTTTGGGGGTCAAAGCCCCCCATCCTGGTCCCCTGCCCGCCAGGAGGTGGGTCAAGACCTAATAAAACCCGTTGAAGAGATAACAGGGAAATACAAAATAACCCCGAGAAAATAAAGGGGACCCTGGGGTTTAATAAAAACACTTTTTAACTCCTTGACCCAGGGGAAAAAATCGTATATGTCAGAACTCTTTTTAAATAAGAAATTTTTATATTTCTTTTTGGTTTTGTTTATTTTTTAAATTTTATTTAAAAGCATTTATAAGAACGTACAACACCTAGGTGTCTTTTGTTTTGGGGAATAGTGTTTCACATGTGTCTTATTCATCAATAAAGCCCCCAGGTGTTGTACATGTGTCTTATTCATCAATAAAGACACCCAGGTGTTGTACATGTGTCTTATTCATCAATAAAGACACCCAGGTGTTGTACATGTGTCTTATTCATCAATAAAGACACCCAGGTGTTGTACATGTGTCTTATTCATCAATAAAGACACCCAGGTGTTGTACATGTGTCTTATTCATCAATAAAGTCACCCAGGTGTTGTACATGTGTCTTATTCATCAATAAAGACACCCAGGTGTTGTACATGTGTCTTATTCATCAATAAAGACACCTAGGTGTTATACATGTGTCATATTCATCAATAAAGACACCTAGGTGTTATACATGTGTCTTATTCATCAATAAAGACACCCAGGTGTTGTACATGTGTCTTATTCATCAATAAAGACACCCAGGTGTTGTACATGTGTCTTATTCATCAATAAAGACACCCAGGTGTTGTACATGTGTCTTATTCATCAATAAAGACACCCAGGTGTTGAACATGTGTCTTATTCATCAATAAAGACACCCAGGTGTTGTACATGTGTCTTATTTCATCATAACGAAACCTAGGTGATGTACATTTCTTATTCACATACAGACACCTAGGTGTTGTAACAAGTGGTCTAATTCATCAATAAAGTCCCACCCAGGTTGTATAGTACATGTGTCTTAATCATCAAAAGAAGAGCACCCAGGTGTTTGTACATGTTTCTTATTCATCAATAAAGCACCCAGGTTTGTGTACATGTGGTCTATTCATCAATAAAGACACCCAGGTGTTGTACCTTTGTCTTATCCATCAATAAAGACACCCATTTTTAACCATGGTTTCTTATTCATCAATAAACACCCAGGTTGTAACATTGTCCTTATTTCATCAATAAATTCACCTCAGGTGTTGTACATGTGTCTTAGTTCATCAATAAAGACACCCAGGTGTTTGTACATGTGTCTTATTTCATCACTAAAGACACCCAGTATTGGCTCACTATTCTCTTTATTACTCTGATCATAAGTAATGTGATCAGTTTATGAACGCTTGCACAGCTGAGCAAGAATTGGCTCTCTGTTTTCAACCAGGGCTGGTTCTCTTCTTGGATCGAACTTATTCCCTGACCAGCAACTGCGGTCACACCTACCTATGCCCCACTCCCAGCTCCACGCTACAGCCCACGCCCAGCCTCTACCTACGCCCACCCACATAGCAGGGGAGCTTCATCTCTGCCTCCACATCGCCGCAGAAGCTCATCTAAGCCCCCTTTTATACCTTACAGGGACTCAGTCCTCACTTGGTTATTGAAGGATACATTGGGAGGCAATGCAAAAAAAACTGATGATTGCTAGTGAGAAATTGCAATGTGTTGCTGTAGATGTTGGGAAGTGTTGTTAGAATAATGCCTCATTTGTGTTGTTGTGGGAGAAAGGAAAATGTTTATGTTGGGATTTAGAAGCTGGTTAGATGGACCGGAGTTCTGGAGGTGGGAAGTACAGTGTCTGTACTCTGGGGGAAATGAGTGAGGATGATACAGTTCTGGAGGTGGGAATACAGTACTGTACTCTGAAGGATGAGGGGAGGATGTTACAGTTCTGGAGGTGGGAAGTACAGACCTGTACTCTGAAGGATGAGTGAGGATGTTACAGTTCTGGAGGTGGGAAGTACAGTACCTGTACTCTGAAGGATGAGTGAGGATGTTACAGTTCTGGGGGTGGGAAGTACAGTACCTGTACTCTGAAGGGATGAGTGAGGATGTTACAGTACTGGAGGTGGGAAGTACAGTACCTGTACTTGAAGGATGAGTTGAGGATGTTACAGTTCTGGGGGTGGGAATACAGTCCCTGTACTCTGAAGGATGAGTGAGGATTTACAGTTCTGGAGGTGGAAAGTACAGTACCTGTACTCTGAAGGGGATGAGTGAGGATGATACAGTTCTGGAGGTGGGAAGTACAGTGTCTGTACTCTGAAGGATGAGTGAGGATGTTACAGTCCTGGAGGTGGGAAGTACAGTACCTGTACTCTGAAGGATGAGTGAGGATGTTACAGCCCTGGAGGTGGGAAGTACAGTACCTGTACTCTGAAGGATGAGTGAGGATGTTACAGTCCTGGAGGTGGGAAGTACAGTACCTGTACTCTGAAGGATGAGTGAGGATGTTACAGTCCTGGAGGTGGGAAGTACAGTACCTGTACTCTGAAGGATGAGTGAGGATGTTACAGTTCTGGAGGGGGGAAAAGGGTACAGTGTCTGTACTCTGAAGGATGAGTGGGGAAGTTACAGTTCTGGTGGTGGGAAGTACATCCCTGTATCTGAAGGATGAGTGGGGGATGTTACAGTCCTGGAGGTGGGAAGTACAGTACCTGTACTCTGAAGGATGAGTGAGGATGTTACAGTTCTGGAGGGGGGGAAGTACAGTACCTGTACTCTGAAGGATGAGTGAGGATGTTACAGCCCCTGGAGGTGGGAAGTACAGTACCTGTACTCTGAAGGATGAGTGAGGATGTTACAGTTCTGGAGGTGGGAAGTACAGTACCTGTACTCTAAAGGGTGAGTGAGGATGTTACAGTCCTGGAGGTGGGAAGTACAGTGTCTGTATTCTGAAGGATGACTAAAAAATACAACATTTCAGAGGGCCGTCTGAACTGTAATACCAACACTTCTGACAAAAGAGCGACTGAACAATAATATAAACTTCCTCTATTTCTGGACGACTCTACCGTGGGAGACACCCATCGTGTTAAAAATAACTGAACCAAATCCCATTCTTGCAGCTGTGTCGCCTTGCAGCACCAGTTTTAGCTGAGAGTTTGTCCACTCTGAGGTATGCAACACGGGCCCGATGCATCGTCAACACTCCAGTAGTGAACCTGGATGATAGAACTGCGACTATCAGTAGTCTGAAGAGGGGAAATGGCAGCTCTGAAGAGAATGCTGTGTGATGCCAAGGTAAGTTCTGGTGAGGACTGTAATTTTGTTCGTATAAGATGGTAGACAACTATCCAAGGAGGTACTATCCTGTATCATCCCAGTTTCAGAACAACTATTATTGACCCTCCTATAGTAGACTTTAAACCCCATAACCAACCAACCAGCCTTAATGGCCATTGTGTAGTAGACTTGAAACCCCATTAACCAACCAACCAGCCTTAAAAGACCATTGTATAGTAGACTTGAAACCCCATTAACCAAACCAACCAGCCTTAATGACCATCGTATAGTAGACTTGAAACTCCATTAACCAACCAACCAGCATTAATGACCTTTTATAGTAGATAGACTTTAAACCCCATTTCAGCCATAATGCTTTTCCTTTATTAGTCACGGTAATGCCCTGTTTTTATTAGTTCTAGTCATGGTATTAGCTAGGCGTTTATTACTTGCATTAACTATATCAACTTCGACTTTATTGATCTCCAGCCAGCATTAAGGAGAGCTCTTGGGAGCAGCAACAAAAGCTCTTTACTAGAAGCAGCATCACAAGTGTCAAGCTCACAGCTCACCAGAGAGTGGATCACCCATCTCCATACCGAACATCACACCAAGGAACACAAGAAAGTCAGGAGAAAAAGTGCTCCAGTCTGTGACCAGTGGAGCCCTGAGCTCCACCAGGGTGCTTCAGCAGTCAGCAGCAGCACACCTGCTGGGAACACCTGTGTCAGTAGAGATATAACTGTTGAGACTGACTTACCCTACCTGCTTAACACTATTGATGATCCACACTCATCAACTATCATCATATATCATATAAAAGTAAGTAGTGTATATCTTTAAACATTAAAGAAAATTTT